TGAGGAACAGTTTCAAGCCAGTGAATGGTTTTGGAATAGTTAGTCCATCATTAAATAGAAATTAATAATAAAGAGAATGAAAGGTCCATAATGAGCACCTGGAAGTCTGTGTGTTAGAATGATACAATACTGGAGCTAATAAATTTTAAGTTTTGTATCTAGTAATCATATTTTGAAAAGGAGTATGACCATTCTAGTTGTATGAATGTGGTTGATATTTTAAATAGTACATGTATAATTGTTGCTCACAGTTACAACAAATAGACCACTTTAAAAAATATTTCTATATTCATTATCCATGAAGATAACACAAAGATGGTTAATTATTTTAAAACACCCTTACATTACATGCACTTTGAATATAGATTTTGTTTTGATAGCTTGTGTTTGAAAATATCACTTTCCTTAAAATCATAGATGTATGTTTTGAAAGTATCTGTAGTCTTTAAACATAAATCACAGATTTGTTTTAGCATTTGTTAGCAGTCTGAAGACTTAATACTAGAGTCATTCTATTTTAATGTGTGAGTATATATGATGGACACAAAGAGAAGAAATATCTCATGTTGTACACAAAATTTGCATATCTTAGATCCTTGGTATATTGTGAGAGGTTACAGCAGGTAAAACTTAATCAGTGCCATTTATGGAGCACAGTGTATTTGAAAGCCATGTAAGTTACAAGGAAAATGCACAGGCATTGGGATTGACCTATGCCACCAGAAGATCTCAGCTCAGATGAGAAAGGAATAGTCTGGGAAGAAACATAAGGATTACTAATCAACAGTTAGTTATGGGCTTGGCACAGTTCTAAGTGTTTAAGACACGTTACATCATTAATCTTCCCAAAAATCTTTCCCAATAGAGATTCGTATTGATTAAATATCACTAAGTACAAGAGGTTGACAGGTGGCAAGCCAAGGGACAAAGTGGTTGAGGGACTTGCTACGAATCTCAAGAGTGGCTGGGCTGAGGTTGAACCCTGGCAGTTTGGCTCCACGAGCAACCCGTTTAAATAATTTATTCAATAAATGTCTCCCTGAAGACTGAGGTTTAGATCCAGTCATATAAATAGTTGGTTTCCCTGACTTTTTCTTGTAAAGACAGAGCTTTAGATCCTTGCCAGGAAACGTGTAGCTAGCCTGGAATGTATATCTTGAGGATATTCAGGTCCTAGAGTGTGTTTAGTTATGGCAGGGGTCAGTCTAATTTTGAACGGAAGTCAATTTTCACTTTAGCACTTTTGTTTCTTTTTATGAAGATGAATAAAATCATTTTCTTATGGCTTGTTCCTGAGTCCCCTGAGAAACAGCTGCAGTCTTCTCTCCCCTCACAAACTCTCTCACACACTCACTCTCCCCTCACACACTCACTCTCCCCTCACACACTCTCTCACACACTCACTCTCCCCTCACACACTC